AAACCCTAAGCCCTAAACCCACTTACTGGTGCAACATCCCAGGTAAGTAGTGGAGCCTGGGGCACTTGGACGCTTTCCTTTGCTGGTTCTAAGTTGTGAGTGGAGGACGGGATTCCTACAGTTGATTAAGGGCTTATAGTCCCCCTTAAGTAGATAAAACATGGTTTTGGGTAAATTATACTAAGGTCCCCATATACCCCATATTCTATCTACTTCAGGGGGACTATAGGGTTATAGGGTTGTAGGGTTTAGGGTTGTAGGGTTTAGGGTTTATGTTTTAGGGTTGGTTGTGGGGTTTAGGGTTTAATAAGGGCTTAGGATTTAGGGTTCCGGGTTTATTTAGAAGCTGGGTAGGGGAAAGCCTAACTTGTAATGAAGTAACTCCCGACAGTCCCCCTTATTTACTACCATAGAGTCCACTCCCTTTCTACTTTCACCCCTCAAGGCGCGATGGAAGAGTTAAACATGTCTGGGAGCTTCGCTGGCCTCACTCAACAGTTGTATGTACACAGAGTTCAATCTTCTTGCAATCCTCCTGACAGGCCTTATGCAAGACCCTACGCTCTAAAGGATTAAAGGCCCAAGCTAACCCATAATGTGAAACACGCCTAGGTATGGTCATGTCAAAAGTGCCATGAACTCGACAGTAGCTTCTGAAGCTCCAGTTGGCGGGGCCACTGCTTCTAAATCCTATTTTGGGGTTTAGTGTTTGGGGTGCACTGCTGGGTTTAGGGTACTCTCAGCCCGTCCTTATTGCAGAAGGCCGAACCCCGACCTCAAAGCCACCGCAAACCCAGGCCAGATGCCTGACCTGCTAAACTCGAGCACCCTAAACCCAGCTGTACACCATGGCACCTGGCACCCCTGCTGAAAATTAGTTTCTAGGTACCTGTACTTGGAATTTCTGGGAACCCCAAAAAAGTTAAGGGTCTAACGTCCGAACTAAGTGCAAGGAGTGTAGAAGCCTAGATAGATGCCAAGCTTGCCCACACATAAACCTGACTCATTGAGCACATTATACCCCCCGAACCTATTCTACCTGTCTGATCCCGTCCACTAACATAAGCCTCCCCACCCCTAGTTGTAAAGATACCCTCCGATTGTACGTATTCAGTGCTGTGCATTCAGCCTTAGGAGGGTGGGAGGCTCTTTTACCAGTTACTGTATAAGCCTAATTAGCTACCAAGCTTACGCCCATATGAGCTCTAGTCTAAACTCCTAGTATCCCCCTCAGACCGCTATGATACTCCCCTAAAAAAATCCTTTGTATACAGCCCGTTTAAGGAGTTCAGACCCTGGCCCATATGCTCCTTGCTAACTACAGCATATTCTGTCACGAAACCCTGCACCCTAAACCCTAAACTTCCTACTCTACTTATCTAGCCCCCTCCTCCAAGAATCAATCTTCCCATCCCCCTAAAGATCCCCCCCAATGCACATCGGTACATACTTTAAAACCTAAAACGTAAAACCCTAACTTGTACATCCCTGATCAATAACCCCCCTCTCTTTAATCAAGGGGATCCTAATGTTGAGGCCCTTAAAAGGAGGCGGTGTATTAATCACA